AGGAAATGCAGCTGCAATGTTAATAGAAAAAGTTATTGCTTTCAAAGTGGATAGTCATGCACTTTTCACTGTGATTATTCTCTGAGCGTGTCAAAATATACAGTACTCGTGGTCAGTAGAATTAAAGCACTTTGGTACTGAAGTGGAAATAAGGTGTACATAAATATTAAAATATCAGAGGTACAAGAAACAGCAAATGTAGGAAATGCAGCTGCAATGTTAATAGAAAAAGTTATTGCTTTCAAAGTGGATAGTCATGCACTTTTCACTGTGATTATTCTCTGAGCGTGTCAAAATATACAGTACTCGTGGTCAGTAGAATTAAAGCACTTTGGTACTGAAGTGGAAATAAGGTGTACATAAATATTAAAATATCAGAGGTACAAGAAACAGCAAATGTTTGTTTTATACAGAACTGCATTGTAGTTTGTCAGTTCTAAAGTCAATATGAACATGCTTGTGTGTTTCTCTTGTCAGGTAATCCAGGACTGGCAGGCTACTATAGGACCTTTGTACGGGCATTATACCATGGACTAAACCAGCAGTATCCAGTTTGGGTTGTGAGCCACGCTGGACACTGCAAGCCACCAAATAGCATGGAAATGACAGAAGGTACTGTACTGTAATTTGTAAGATATACAGATTTTACCATGGCAATGATTTGTTCTGAAAAACCTATGTTTATTGATAATATCACTTAACAATTCCATAGTACTAATTGTCTTGGAAAGCCCTGCAAATATTTCCCCAGAATGACCTTGTGAGGGAGAAAGTACTGTGCATGTTGTTCTTCTCCTCTCTAGACTTGTCTACATGAGAGAGTTGCTCTGGATTCACAGAAACCGATTTTAGAATATTGCCCCTACGGGTGTGAATACTTTTAACTCAGTTTAAAGAAGATTTATTTTGGTTTAGCCTAAAGCAGTTAAGCATGGATTTAAGGTAATTGGAAATATTTTGCTCTTTAACCAAAATTAAAATGCCTATAGGTTGATTGGCACCGGTGGATTAGGTTGATTTAAAAACAGTTTTAAGATAAATCACTGCAACTTTGGAGTCTGGATAAGACCTCTTCCTTATAGATGGAAGGAGGGTTGGGTCAGAAGGAGCACAGTGACACAGCCCAGAGCCATAGAAGTAGTGTGGCCATATCCAAAACTGAGGAGAAGGGTTCCAGGCTTCTAGAACTACACCCAGACCACTAAATAGCACTCCATTGGTCTTGAATTACTTTCTTAACTCTTAGACAAACCTGAACATTTGCTCTTTGCATTTACACCAGCACAAAACAGTTTTCAGGATCAAAGGCTTAAGAGCAGAAATGTTTAGGGTAACTTTTCTTACATCAGCATTTGCCCCTGAGCTTTTGGCCCTTAATATTTTGCTTTTGTAATTTCAATGTTGGAAGTGAAATTTGAAACCTGCCCAATTGCTACTAATCGTTCTGGTCAAATGTCAAACTCTAAGCCAAACAGAGAATTCCCCATCCTTATGACTACTAGCCATAGCATAATAGAGGTTAGACTCTTCACTTGCTGGTAAGCCCACAGTACCATGGAGTTAATAAAAACATAGAAAACTATTGATGAATAACTACAGAAACAAATTAATGAAATGTTGCTAAGCAAGGTTTTAATGTAGGACAGCAAGTTAATCTGCGATAACATGTTAAGAATGTGACAACAAAAATTCAGTTAATGTTTGATTAACCCAAGGAAACTTGCTAAACAGACTGAAGTCCTCAAGTTATATCTCATTATCATAATCATAAATTGAATGCAGTTGAGGGAGCAGATATGGGCCTGTTTTGGGAGAAAGAAGGCAAACAGGAAATAACTCAAAATCTACTTTATCAGAAGTTGATCCCCTTTCCTGTATTTATTTGTTGCAACAAATGTAGTGAACAAAAGCATGAATTAATTGCAAATGCATTATCTGAAAACTGCAAACTAAAGCCTGAAAAAATGGAATAAGAAAGGAGAAAGCCAGAACGAATCTGTAAAGGAATCATTTGTGAAGTGTGTCTGAGTTGCTTCAGCTTGAATAACCCACCAAAGTGCCTTAAAGAGTCAGCACAAGGAAAATGCAGTCAGATCACACCTACAAGTATACAGTGCAAAAATATATAATACTTCATATTACACAATGAAAGCGAAGGGAGGTCGGAAACCTGAGGATAATGAAAGTTTTGTATTCATTCATCAGGATGCCCCCCCCCCCAAAAAAAAACCCAGACAACTGTGGTGCACAGCAATGAAGACATACCTGCAAGCACATTCCTCCCTTCATACTAGGGTATGGGTGACTTTTTCCAGTTAATACTAAATTTGACTTAAACATCCCTGCTATTTCTTCGTTGTCTTCATTCAGTTCGTAGAAAACAATATTTTGTATTAAGTTTGCTCTTTTCCAGAGGGGTCTAAAAGCCCTTTACAAATTATTGAGCAAATCCTGATTTAATGTGTAAGACTCAACTAGCAGGGTACCTTGCTTGGTCAAGAGGAATGGAAGGCTCTCCGTGCACTGTGGGTCAAAGTGGCTATAGTCACCTTGATGGTATCTGAATCTTCTATGCCTCCCACATAAGGGTTTGGCTGGTAGGTACAAGTGATGGACCCATTTTTTATGACCCTCCATCCCTTATGCCTCCTACATGAGCCCTCAACATATATCTTGCAGCATTTGGGATGATAAAACCCCTGAGGAACACACATGTATACACACAAGGGCAAAGGATCTTGCTCTCCACAGCTATTCTCTATTGGTCCCTCAGTTGCTGCTGAATGAAGTGATAGAAACAAAATTTGATCCTATTTGTATGCTGCAGCAAGCTGGAAACTGGCTCTTAATTAATGCCAGATCCACATTACAGCCAAAGGTTGGCTTCAGGTATGCAGTTCCAGGTACATAAAAAAGTAGCTGGAGTTGACATCTCTTGAGCCAAGCTTTGGCGCTGTCCTCACAGTGGGAGATCGACATGAGAAATGTTCCCATTGACTTCTCTTACTCCTCATGAGGAGTAGGGGTTCTGGCGTTGACAGGCGCACCCTCAGCATTTGATTTAGCAGGTCTTTATTAGACCTGCTAAATCAAACTCCAGAAGATCAACTGCTGCAGAGTCGAACTTCCTGGCAGTGAAGACATAGCCGAAGGTTGAAGAACAGACTTCGGTTTCCCTTTTCAGGTCTCAGTGCCTCTGGGTTACACATGCACATGTCCAGTAGAATACAAATAGGGACCAAACATCTTGAAGAACCTCCAGTTCTTCTTCGAGTGGTTGCTCATGTCCATTCGAAGTAGGTGTGCGCACCGTGTGCTCTGCGTCTTCCGGAGCGTTTTCCCTAGCGGTACCCGTAGCGCCAGCAGGGCGCCCCCTGGAGTGGCGCCGCCATGGCGGGGCATAAGTACCCATGCCGGCGCTGCTCCACCTCAGTTCCTTCTTACCGCAGTGACAGTCGTTGGAGCGTCTCTATCTTTCTTAGTCTCCTAGAGTATGTCTACACTACCACCCTAGTTCAAACTACGGTGGTAATGTAGGCATACCGCACTTGCAAATGAAGCCCGGGATTTGAATTTCCCGGGCTTCATTTGCATAAGCCGGCCGGCGCCATTTTTAAATGCCGGCTTGTTCGAACCCCGTGCCGCGCGGCTACACGCGGCACGGGCTAGATAGTTCGGAATGGCTTGCTAGTTCGAACTATCTGGCAACTTCGGCTGGGCACCGCGCCGTGGGCTCACCGGTGCGTGTATCGCCACCGCACCGTCGGCACC